CTACATCCTCACATAACACAAGGCAGGTTAGTTAGTTGAAAAGTAAGTAATTTTCATTGGGTTTTTCACAAATACTTTTAATAGTTTAAATTACATGCAGCTATGATTAGAGAACCTTTGGAAACCCAAAAAAGTCAGACGAGTGACCTTTTTCCTTTGGGGCCCTTTTTAAATACCTTTTTTTTTCTATGAAGGAGTTAAATCTTCTTATTATACTAAAAAGGGGAATATACTGGAAAAAGGTAAAAAACAGTTTTTTACATATACGTGGTTAGCTAAAAAAAAAATCATTTTTCTGACGCTACATTCGTTAGGCCCCTTTTTGGCACCTTTTTTAACTGGTTCTGCTATGATGTTTGCCATGTGCGGCAATCTATTCATTCCTTTATTGCTGTCCCAATAAAAGGGTTTGAAGTCCGGCCACTGCGTGGGTACTACAAGTTGTGCTCTCTCCCCCTAGTCTGTGATTGTTTTGTTCCCAACCTGACAAAATTAGCCCCAAGATATTCTGGACACTTTTTATGAAAAATTTTATAAACTTGATTTAATTCGTTGTTTTCTTGTTTTTAAACCCTTCAGTATATCCATTTGTTGTAATTCACCTGGCCTCTGTTCTTTGGGCCCCCGGCCAGGATGAATTTTTGCATATTGTTTCCCGTGTGTGTGTGTGTGTGTGTGTGTGTGTGTGTGTGTGGTGTGTGTGTAGTGTGTGTGTTTGTATTGTGGGGTGTGTGTGTTTGTGTGTGGTGTGTGTGTGTGTGTGTATGTGTGTGTGTGTGGTGTATGTGTGTGTGTGTTGTTGTGGTGTGTTTGTGTGTGTTTGTGTGTGTTGTGGTGTGTGTTGTATGTTGTGTGTGTATGTGTGTGTGTGTAGTTGGTGTGTATGTGTGTTGTGTGGGTGTTGTGTGTGTGTGTGTGTGATTTTTGGTGTGTGTGTGTTGTGTGTGTGTATGTGGTGTTGTTTTGGGTGTGTATGTGTGTGTGGTATGTTGTGTGTGTTGGGTGTGTTGTAGGTGGTTGTGTGGTGTGTTGTGTGTGTGTGTGTGTGTGTGTGTATTGTGTTGTGTGTGTGTGTGTGTGTGTGTGTGTGTGTTGTGTGTGTGTGTGGGGGTGGTGTGTGTGTGTTTTTTGTGTGTGTGTGTGTGTATGGTGTGTGTTGTGTGTGTTGTGTTTGTGTGTGTTTTGTGTGTGGGGTGTGGTGTGTGTGTGTGTGTGTGTATGTGTGTGTGTGTGTGAGGGTGTGGTGTAGTATGGTGGTTTGGGTGTGTGTGTGTGTGTATGTGTGTGTGTGTTGTGTGTGTGTGTGTGTTTGTGTTGTTGTGGTGTGTGTGTGTTGTGGTGTGTGTGTGTGTATGTGTATGTGTGTGTTGTGTGTGTGTGTGGTGTGTGTGTGTGGAGTGTTTTTGGGTGAATTCTTCTCGGACGTAGCAGTTATACTCGTGTTCTCATCTTCAATAATTCATCATAATTTTTTTTTTAATTTGCAGTTCAACCCCTTATGTGAGAAATTTTTTCTTTATCCTTTTTCACTTCACTTTTTACTCAGTGTTCAGCAGGGTCCTTGGTTTTTCCCTGTTGCAGAGGTAACAAAATTGGGGTCTAATCTTTCAAGTAATTGTTTCTTTTCCCTCTTTTTCCCCCTTTTGGCAACAAGGGCATCTTTATTATTTCAACATTTTCAAGTTCAAAATTGTTGCTTGGGACCATAATATATGTAATATATATTAATTATATTATATTAATATATTTTTTATATTATATATTTTTTAAAATATATATATTTTTATATATATACATATATGTATAGGGCACCCCACAATCACACATATTCTATTTTTGATTATGTATAAAAAACTTTTAAAATTTCCTATCAATTTATGTGAAATTTTTTTTTGTTTTGCCCGTGTAAATATGAGTTTCTGACATTTTCATTTATAGTCTTTAGTGACATTTTTTTTTTAAAAATTACACCCGGTCCCTTTTTTCTATCAGTACTTTCAGTATCTTGTCAATGAAAATTTCTTAATGTGGACAAAAATTTTACTTTTTTCCCCTTTGTTTTATTGGGGTTTTTTTTAAGAGCTAAGAACATAAGAAAGAAGGAACACTGCAACAGGCCTACTGGCCTATGCGAGGCAGGTCTAATTCTCCCACCGGCTTAAGCCAATGTCTTGATTTAGTGACTTCAGACACGTCACCCATTTATTACTCCATGGGCTCATTGTACCCAGAGTCTCTTGTAAAGATTTACGGTCATTTTCATTATTAATTCTGCATAAGATTTTTACATCATCTGCAAACATATTCAAATTGTTTTTTATATTTCTTCAGATACATCATTAATATAAATTAAAAACATTATTGCTATGTACAGACCCTTGAGGCACCCCACTTGTGACACCCCCTTCCCTTCCATGCAGACATTTTTCCTATTATAACTTTTCGCATTTTCCTTTCAAACGAAAAGTCTCTCATCCATTATAATCATTTACACCAATTCCTCCTATAACCCTTAAACTGCATGTAATGTACAACCTATGTCTACTATGTGTTTGTGTACATTGTACACTAAACGGCAGATTTATCCCGCCTCCAAATTTGTTGATTACCATAACTTTAGGTCTCAGGCCATTTCTTTGGGTTGTCAGGTACCTCATTAGACCAAAGAAAAAATATCTAGCTGCTGAGTCATCAGAAGGGACGAAAGATAAAATTGCTTAAGTCAGTTATTACTCAGAGTGGCTGGCAGGACACTGGTGATTCATGCGACAGTGACAACATAACTCTAATATAAAACGTAAACATACTACACACCGCACCCCCAGTAACCCTGACAACACTAACAGTCCTGCCACCACGTACCCCCAGTAACCCTGACAACACTAACAGTCCTGCCACCACGCACCCCCAGTAACCCTGACAACACTAACAGTCCTGCCACCACGCACCCCCAGTAACCCTGACAACACTAACAGTCCTGCCACCACGCACACCCCAGTAACCTGACAACACTAACAGTCCTGCACCACTACCCCCCAGTAACCCTGACAACACTAACAGTCCTGCCACCACGCACCCCCAGTAACCCTGACAACACTAACAGTCCTGCCACCACGCACCCCCAGTAACCCTGACAACACTAACAGTCCTGCCACCACGCACCCCCAGTAACCTGACAACACTAACAGTCTTGCCACCACGTACCCCCAGTAACCCTGACAACACTAACATCCTGCCCCCACGCATCCCCAGTAACCCTGCAACACTAACAGTCCTCCCACCACGCACCCCAGTAACCCTGACAACACTAACAGTCCTGCACACGCACCCCCCAGTAACCCTGACAACACTAACAGTCCTGCCACCACGTACCCCAGTAACCCTGACAACACTAACAGTCCTGCCACCACGCACCCCCAGTAACCCTGACAACACTAACAGTCCTGCCACCACGCACCCCAGTAACCCTGACACACTAACAGTCCTGCCACCACGTACCCCCAGTAACCCTGACAACACTAACAGTCCTGCCACCACGCACCCCATTAACCCTGACAACACTAACAGTCCTGCCACCACGCACCAACAGTAACCCTGACAACACTAACAGTCCTGCCACCACGCACCCCCATAACCCTGACAACACTAACAGTCCTGCCACCACGCACCCCCAGTAACCCTGACAACACTAACAGTCCTGCCACCACGCACCCCCATAACCTGACAACACTAACAGTCCTGCCACCACGCACCCCCAGTAACCCTGACAACACTAACGTCCTGCCACCACGCACCCCCAGTAACCCTGACAACACTAACAGTCCTGCACCACGCACCCCCATTAACCCTGACAACACTAACAGTCCTTCCACCACGCACCCCCAGTAACCCTGACAACACTAACAGCCCCTGCCACCACGAAACCCCAAGTAACCCTGACAACACTAACATCCTGCCACCACGCACCCCCAGTAACCTGACAACACTAACAGTCCTGCCACCACGCACACCGCAGTAACCCTGACAACACTAACAGTCCTGCCACCACGCACACCCCAGTAACCCTGAACAACACTAACAGTCCTGCCACCACGTACCCCCAGTAACCCTGACAACACTAACAGTCCTGCCACCACGCACCCCCAGTAAACCCTGACACACTAACATCCTGCCACCACGCACCCCCAGTAACCCTGACAACACTAACAGTTCCTGCCACCACGCACCCCCAGTAACCCAGACAACACTAACAGTCCTGCCAACACGTACCCCCAGTAACCCTGACAACACTAACAGTCCTGCCACCACGCACCCCATAACCCCGACAACACTAACAGTCCTGCCACCACGCACACCCCATAACCCTGACAAAAACTAACAGTCCTGCCACCACGCACCCCCAGTAACCCTGACAACACTAACAAGTCCTGCCACCACGTACCCCAGTAACCTGACAACACTAACAGTCCTGCCACCACGTACCCCCAGTAAACCTGACAAACTAACAGTCTGCCACACGTACCCCCAGTAAACCCTGACAACACTAACAGTCCTGCTACCACGCACCCCCAGTAACCCTGACAACACTAACAGTCCTGCCACCCACGCACCCCCAGTAACCCTGACAACACTAACAGTTCTGCCACCACGCACCCCCAGTAACCCTGACAACACTAACAGTCCTGCCACACGCACCCCCTGTAACCCTGACAACACTAACAGTCCTGCCACCACGCACCCCCAGTAACCCTGAAAAACACTAACAGTCCTGCCACCACGTACCCCCAGTAACCCTGACAACACTAACGTCCTGCCACTACGTACCCCAGTAACCCTGACAACACTAACAGTCCTGCCACCACGTACCCCCAGTAAACCCTGACAACACTAACAGTCCTGCCACCACGTACCCCCAGTAACCCTGACAACACTAACAGTCCTGCCACCACGCACCACCCAGTAACCCTGACAACACTAACAGTTCTGCCACCACGCACCCC